TCTCGCTCTTCAAGGTCATTGTGCGCCGGCCGATGTTTCACACTTTCTCGTACGCGTCGCTTTAATACACGAGTATGCCTGTGGCAGACTGAATCAAAGCTGTCAAGTTCCCCTGCACTCAATTTCCTCTCGAGCTAAACTTTACACGTTTTCCCACCCGCGTACAAATGTAGTAAAAACAATTAAAAAACCTCATCTGCAACTTCAAAACTCCCCATCGTCTTACGAGCACACTCGGACACATTCCTACATTACATAGAAAAATGTGTATCCGCATAATCGTGAGACATTTTCCAAACAAATGCAATTTAATTCTTCTTTGAGTCTCCCCCCAACAGTGCCCGTTTTATAAACGGGAAATCAGGCTGCGCGTTTCGCAATTCGTCCACATGCCGGAACACTTTCTGTTTAAAATCAGACCAATTCGTACTAAGGGCTAAAAAATGTATTTCCTGCTGTAAGGGACCATACAGAAGTGATCGAGGTATCGCACACCAAAGTACAGAATGAAAGAGGAAACATCAAGGCTTTGACCGGGATGTTCTTTTGTTAAATCTTATGTGGTACCGCCTGATTCGACTTCTAATGGTTAAGTGAAGTGTTTTCTTCGCGGTACGGGCTGAATTCATAAATAATATTCAGACGATCTTCGGCTTCAAAGGGTTAAATGTCTCGTCCCACGATTTGTCCTGATTGCGCTCCATCACGCGGATCGATCAGACGCGACAAATTCAAATCAACCTGTGACGTCTACGGGTGTGTGGGCTTCGCCCATCGGGACCTTCTTCCGACCTGAGAGGGTGAGACTGCCAGCCGTGGCCGGGGCTGCCACAGAACAGCCACGACCACAGTCAGACGCGCTCCTAAATTAAAAGAACAGGCAGTGAAATTGCAAACGAGACACGTAATTGAAACTGCGGTCACGTGTTTGTGAAGCACGGAATTAGTTCGCGCCTGCAGGCATGAAGGGAAAGGGAGAAGGAAGGTTCTTCTGACCGAATTACACGTCGCACAAAACTACAAGCAATGCTGTAATGACAAAGACTGAGCATGCGCTCCAACTACGTTCCTGGGGCGATGGTCACGTGGGCGGTTCGTTTCCAGACGGAGTAGTTCGTTTGTTATGTTCTGCGCGGCGCTGCGGTCGGTCGCTTAAGTGGCAAACAGCTCCACGAACAACACGAGCCGATCACATGTGAGTGAGAGTCTTTCTGTCCAGCTCGAAAATTGGTCTTTCGACCTCCGCGAAAAGCAACGATTGCATGCGAGTGTCTGAGAACGAAGTGGCGAGGAGACGGAAGGCCTTGGCTCAGGATGTGGTCTGGTGGCGGTGTCTCTGGACCGTAAATAACGGGTAATTCATTGAGCGCATGAGAGCTTTAGATTTCTCGAGGACGAATCCACTTAATGTAATTATCATCATCATCAGAAATATTCTGACTAGGAATATCGCTACTAGTGGGAGTTCGGTGGGACCGTAGATCAATTATTTATAGATTTCAAAAAAGCCTATGACTCTGTGAAGAGCGAAGTGTTATATAATATTATTTTTATATTTGGTACACCAAATAAGCTACTGAGTCTAATAAGAATGTGCTTAAATGAAACCTGTAGCAAAATTCGAGTAGGTAAATATTTATCTGAGTCATTTTCCATCAAGAACGGTCTGAAACAAGGAGATGCTTTGTCTCCCTTGCTCTTTAACTTTGCGCTAGAATACGCCATCAGGAAAGTCCAAGATAGGCAGGAGGGTTTGCAATTGAATGGGACACATCGACTATTGGCATTTGCTGATGATGTTAATTTATTGGGGGACGACGTAAATACAATAAAGAGGAACGCAGAAGTTTTACTAGAGGCTGGTAGACAAGTGGGGCTCGAAGTAAATTCAGAAAAAACTAAGGACATGTTAGTATCTCGTCGTCAGGAGACAGGCGGGCAAAATTACCTTAGGGTGGCTAATAAGTCCTTTGAAAGGGGGACAAAGTTCAAATATCTGGGAAAAACAACTCATGAGGAAGTTCGGAGGAGACTGAATTCCGGAAATGCCTGCTACTTCTCAGTTAAAAATATTTTGTCTTCCCGTCTGATTTCTAAGAACCTGAAGATTAAAATATACAAAAAAAAAGAATTGCCTGTTATTTGTATGGGTGCGAAACATGGTCTCTCACTC